AAAACTAATGAATAAATCGCTAAAAACTCAGTGTTTATGTTATATGAGTGTAAAGTATAACAGTCGGGGAATGGGGTGTAAGGGACAGGTATGTGATACATACGCCGGTAGTCTCGTCCGAGAATATAGAGTCGGCTTTCTTGGGGTCAAAGTGTTTGATAATCAACTGCTTTAAGTGGTCCTCAACGAGGGACTGGACTTCCGATATCTTCAGATCTGTGTATTGGATAACAAACTAATGGTTAAACCACGGGAACTACACCTCAACCAAAAGCATACCATACCTGTCATTATGAGCCACTCGGCCAATAGGTTAGCCGTCTGTGCGATCGCGTGATAGTTGGTGGACAACAGCTCCACCACCTGTTCCGGGTTACCGCCCGCTTGGAAATACCTGAACACCACAGCACCGGTAGGTATGAGAGAAAGCATACAAATTAGTGGCGATATGTTTGTAGGTATTGGTGCAGTGGGTTAGAGCGGGAGGGCTACTAATATTAGGGTATTTTGTGTGTTAACTAATTAATGGTCTCAATTGTGGTGTAATTAGTGGTAGTAATAGTGGGAACGAGAGGGAAAGGTATCACAAAAATAAGTGACAATTAATAGTAAATGATTTAATGAGTGCGAGAGAGAGAGAGAGAGAGACCACTAAACACTACTACCACTACCAAACACACTATGAGTACGAGTGGAGGGGGGGTCAGTGGGACAGAGGGGGTCGGGATGTCTGTCCCAAACACGACATACCGGCCCAACGACGTGACGATTCCCGGTTCCATAATATAGTCTTCGGCGGCGAACGCCTCCAGACAGTCGTCCAGTATTTGCTGCTTATTGTCAACATCCGGGTCGTCCACCTGTACACCACACACACGGGAGGGGAAGGGGATGTAAAACACAAACACATTACTACACTATTAATAGGCATCTATAGGGAGGGGGCAGTGATAGCCCCCTCGGAAACCCCTTTCCCATAGAGAAAGCATTGCATACCTCCTCGATGTCCGTCATATCGTCGTCCTCCGGGGGCTCATCCGCCTCCCTGTCCACCGGGGGCTCGTCGACCACATCCCTGGCCTCCTCCCACGTGTCCTCCTCGTCCTCAGTGTCCGAATCCATACGTATTTGTAATTAAATTAAAAGTTTTTTTGATTAAAAGCTAATTAAAAGTCTGGAAAAAAGTTTTTGTTTTGTGTTTTCAGTTGTGTTTTGAATGTGTGGCCAATGGGTGAGTGAGTGCGCTGTTCATAAATTACGTGCCGTTTGCGAGAGTTTTAGGTGTTTTTGAGCCCCATTGCTGGTGATTGAGCTGGGTTATAGTTTTAATTTAGTATATTTCAGGTTTATTTGTGTCCAGGTTAGTTTAGCTGGGTGTTATTTAATGTAATATATGATTATTGATGGTTTATGCATAAGTATAGTGCATACGAGTGGTAAGTTATAAATGTTAACAATCTTAAGTTTGCTATCATATATAATTTAAGTTTATAATTTTTATCAAGCTAGTTTTGTGTTTTATAGTTTATAATTTAATATTTTATCAGGTATATTTTGGCTAATTTAATTCAGAATTCACGATTTTAAAATGTAATAAGGGAATAATAGGCTACAATTTCAAATATAATAAAATTACCAAAAAATACTATAATACATTTGAAAGTTTAATATAAAACAATAAAAACTGTATAGAGTGGACCAGGCTCAATATCAATAATACAAAAGGTATAATACATTTAAATCTTGTTCATTTACCATTTTTGCTGTAAATTTTGACATTTTTATTATGTTGTATATTTATTGCTTAATTATATTAATACTGTATTTTATAAATTTTATTTTATTTGAATAATTGTCATGATAGATTGCTAAAAATTAAACATGGTTATTGATACAGTACTGTCATATTAACGGAATTCTGCTATAGAGTGTGTTAAATGAAGGAATTGTTGTTTATTGCAGTTTGAATTGCATTTACAATAACACAAGTTTTAATTACTTTTAGACTATATTAAATTATTATTTATAATAATTTTGTATATGCATAACTATATAATAAAATCATGAACATTATACATGTAGGTAGTTATATTTATAAAATTGTAATTAATAATGAGATTATTACCAAATCAAATGAAAATATAATAAACCCACAATACATTGTGTTTAATACAATTCTTAATTTAAGCTTAATAAATATAATTTATAATCACTGGATTAATAGTGTATAATCATTTTATTGAATATTTGTGTTATATAAATTGAATTTAAGCATTCTATTAAGCTAGAAAATAATAATTTTATAAATAAAATAGATAGACCCTTATTGCAATATTATTTAGTAATTTTATAATTGAAAGTATAATCAATTTAAGTGTCAAAATTAAAGTTACAGTTTTGATGCAATTATTAAATCAACATTTTAATAAATAAATTTATAATTAAAACACATAATTTTATAAATGTATCATAAATATTGATTGGGACTCCCAATGTTAGCAAAGTTTACAGTTTTAAAATAATATTTTATTAGCATTATTAAATAATAGAAATTTTGTATAAATGACATCAATTAGAAAATATTTTAAAAATAAAAGTTATGCTAATGATTAGAAAAAGTAAAATAAAACTAAAGAATTTCACATAATTAGCAATGTTAATTAACATTTAGCAAATTTATTTAAT